AGCGATTTTCCTAGCAAGACTCCAGTAACGAGTTAGATAGGGGGAGTAAGACTTATGGTGCTCACCGTATATAAATTTTACACGTGAACACTGATGCACGCAGAACGTACTACATCTAGTACAATTGTGAATTGTACTAGACTGGCAACTCTGGTTTGGCAACCTTGTTTGTGAGCGGTGCGCCAATTTATGTGTTCTTTTGCAGTTTGAAGGATCTGTTGGCGTGTTTTCTTCTCTTTTTAGCTTTATGCATTCGCCAAATCGTCTCACTCGTGTTAGGCTCACTCATAATGCGCCACAGACATAATACATTTAGTTATACTGTGCCACAGAGACGCGATCAGCCAGAGGGCAATGTTGTACCAAAAAATATAGACTAACACATATGAAAATAAAAATATTAAAATTAAATTTATATTTTCATGTTATTTATGTAATTTTAAAATAATATATTTTTATGAAATTTAACTGGGTATTCACAGCATAAATAAACCAATGGAGAAACCGCTTCTGGACGTGAGTAGACCATGATCCATACATGGCACCTAGTCAAAGAAAGAAGGGTAAATTAGAAAAGTGACAAAATTGTAGTAAAGACAAATTAATAACTAGATCCATACTAGACAGCAATAAAATAAAGTAAAGACACTTTTCTTTTTTGCATATCAACCCTTTCGCAGACAAAACAGTATTTGCAAATTTAATCTTAAGTTACCGTAAGTAAACCGCATTTAAGCTATATCACACATTTAATTGAATAACACAAACTGGTGGTCTCGAAGCCGAAATCCCTACATGGGAAGTAGCAAAACCGGACGACAGAAAATGCTTGTGAAGAATTATTTTTTATTGCGAAAGCTATCTAGAAGCAAACTCTACCATAAATTTGACAGGTTACACGTCAGCTTCCATCACTGAGACATAGTAAATGGTGTTCACCCCCTTACCCTGTACCCAACTACAAATAGCAAGCAAAAAACACGATGTGTCACTTTTTGCAGTTAGATGAGGGACTTTTAATAGTTCAAAAACAAGCTCATATACTGTAAATGTACAGATCTAAGAAATAAAGCAATGGCAGTTTTCTTTGGTGAAAATTATTGTAATGTTAAATATTTAACACTAAGTTTATTTGATCGCGCCACTATATGTGGTCACATTAAAAGATCATAAGAAATCATGTTATTCTTTGCCTCTATTATTTCTCTTGCAAATGGTTTTCTTTATTATTAGGATTCGACCACATAGACCATAGGTTATTGAGTGCTAGTAGTCTATTCTCCAAAGTGTAGGAGTACTAGTGCTCTAATACTCCTACACGTCTAGATATAGTCCTTGGTACTGTTTACCAGTGCCACTTTAGGAACAGCATTGTTAACTAGAACGCAAAAGTGAATGATCAGTGGGGAATCCTACCTATATATCAGATTAATGTCGAAAATGAGGTAGGTTTTTTTTAAATACGTTTTAGATTGTATGTGAGTATTGCTTTTTAATGTACCTTTGTTTAGAATTTCAGTATGTCAAATAATAGATATTTAGATCTCCTGTAGGTTGCATCCTTTTCAGTGGAGTGACGAACTTTTTTTTAAATATATTTATGGTGATCCTGTTTTGCATATCGAGAATTACACATTTATTCAGGTATTTGCACAATGGTTATTGTTTGACCGTAGTCAATTATAATTATTTTTCCTACGACCACTTAGGAAAGTGACACATATCACACTATATAGTCCTATGGAAAGTGCCCTATATCACACGCGTATGAATAAGAATTTACTTTCCACCGGTATACGAATATGTTACTTTCCGCAGTAGCTGTCACAAAATGTCAAACACCTAATTTCTATTTTGAACTATGTAATGTCCATATTAATACTAAAATTGATATGATTATTAAATTATTGAAATTGTTGTAAATTAGATCCTAGATATTTATCTTTAACAATTATTATTAAAATAATTTTAAAATAATGTTTGCTCTTTATTCTGGTTAAATACATAACCGATTAGATCATTCAATTGACACAAGGGCTATTAGCTAAGTTGGTTAGAACGTCGAACTTATCAACTTTGCCATTTGAGACCTGGCGAGCGACCGCGTTCAAATCCTGACGCGGCCAGATTTTTTTAAAATTTTTTTTTTTAGTTTTTTTTTTGTTTAGAAAATATGAAAATTGAATAAATACGATTATTGTTGATTATTTATATAATCATTTTAATTATTATACTAATAATAATCTTGGTTTTACATTTTTTGATGACAATATTTGTGGTCGTAGGAAAAATATTGTACATTACTTGTGTGAAAAGAGATTTTCCACATTCGTGTGATAGTCGCACTCGGCTTGTGCCTCGTGCGACAATATTTCCCACTCTAGTGAAAAATGTCACTTTCCACACTCGTAATGTACCTAATATACTATTTTTGTTTTTAAATAATTACAGTAATAAAATATTTAGGTTTTAAGTTAAATTTTTATATTTTCTGTTTAATTTGAGAACAAAAAACATGTTATGCCTTTTTAACAACCTCTAAAAACCATCTCTTTTGTTTTATTAGTAACAACAAACCTTAGATTCTTTTCACATCTAGTTACTTGATAAATTAATGTGACTAAATTTGAGCATTTCAGTAGCATCTCAAGTAACATTTTGATCTGCATAGTTTACAAGAAACTAATAATAATAAGTACAGTTTGTTTGTTATTTCTATGAAAGTTTAATGCAGACCTGCAGTACTGTACAATCCCTTCAGTTTGTAGGTAATATACTGTTGTAACTTTAGATATACAGAAGATGTGCAAGTAAAACCAAGCTCTCTTATTTTGTTGTTAAGTAGATAATATGCAAGAACAAATATATTTTTTAAAAAACATATTTTTGTCGTTGGATTTAATTAAATTACCGAATTAAAATTAACCTTGGAACAGGTAAGTATACAATTCGATTTTATCGTAATCACAGAATCAAGACTACTAGACCCCTCCTTATATCGACTTATTTTATAATATTGGAAGTTTTAATGAATGCGATGGTGTTATTATCTTTTAGTTTCAGGGTTCGTGTGAAATAATAAGTTTTAATTAAGTAGTCATCTTAGAACTCTCATGGAAAAACAATGCAAAAAATCAAATATTCATATAATAATAGGCGATATAAATATCAATATATTAGGTAACAGTTCCAACTTTGTTCACGACTAAATAAACCAAATGACTGAAGAGGCGTTTGAAAACCTAATAAATAAATAAATAAATACAGGTTAAAAAACCAACAGAAATCATGTTATATTATCTGAAACAAAACAAAATTATACCATTAGAAAAAAACAAAAGTTATATTCAACATTAAAATATTTCAAAATCAAATTAAGCAGAAAAGATGGATAGAAATATATAACAGTAACGATATAGATATTTGTACTGAAGCTTTTATAAATAAATTAAATTTTTAAAGAGAAAACTTTACAATAACAAAAAAAATAAAAAGAACCGCCATTAAACGTAAAACCTAGATCAAACCAGATCAAAACAGTGAGTAATAAAAAATCTGATGTGTCCAACACATGACTTTCCTATCTAGTTATTATAGGCTTTTTCCGGTTATTTTGTACAACCTATTGCATCACCTCTATAAATGTTTAGAGGATAAACTAAATATATACATTTTCCGCATACTTCTACCTCGAAACATTTTTCTATAGATATTCATTGAAAACGAAAATACTGAAAAATTTAAATTTAGCACTTTTCCTACAATTTTTCCATTAGGGTCCATTTTAGAAAAAATATGTGTAAACAAAAATTATAGAGATCGATATCGCTAACAACTTTTAGTTCAACAATTTTCACAAAAATCAGAATTTTGCACATTTTGTCAAATTTCTCGAATACGGACCATTTCACGAAATTTTGACATAAAGCAAAAATTATAGATAATATTATTAAAAGTAAATTTTATTCGAACAATTTTCTTCTCCAAACATAAATAACAGGTATATTCCATAAAATATAAAAACGGCTTCCCATAAAGTACCCCCCCAGATGTTCCGACTTTGTTCAAAATCTAATCATTTTACGTCAGGCCAAAATAAAACTTAAGTTTAAAATTTAATGTTTTTTTCTTTATCGGTTTTTGAGTTTTCTTCAAAATTCGAAATTTACACATTTTTTTAAATATTTAGAATACGGTCATTTTAGAGAAATTATGTATAGAATAAAACTTATAGAGAATTATAATACAAACAACTATTATTTGAACAATTTTTATAAAAAAATATTTTTTTACATTTTGTCCAATTTCTCGAATACGGACCATTTTAGGAAACTTTGAGGGAGAAAAGGTAAAAGTGACGTCATGGTATGTCATAAATGAAATAGCTTATACGGCATTGACGACCTAAACTATATTCTATTATATAAGTATAAATTTTACCGTTTATTTATAGAACACCCTGTATTTTGCAAAATAGTAAAAACCAGTAAATTGTTATTTTAATTTAACGATTTTTACATTAATAATTTGACTTCAATTCATAGATTCATCCGATTTTCGAATTTAGGACAGAAATATTATAGCATGTTATGGTCGATTGACAGATCAGTTTCAAAGTGTGTTACGCTATAATATATCTACAAAATATAAAATAATATTTAAAAAATGAGTGATTTAAGCGAATTTGAAGATATAATTAATACACCACCGGATATTTTGGAACAGGTTAATGCAACAGTACAATCTCTATTACCCCAAAAATCTAAAGAAAAATACGAAAAACAGTATTTACATTTCAAGCAAGACGCCGAAGAAAATTATTTAAAAATGACTTGTTATTTGAGGGGGGCGGAAAAATCATATGTATTACTTGGGAGTAAAGTGCCTTTTCCTCCCTTGGATGTTTACTGCCCTCCGTTTCGCGTCGGGCAGTAAACTTCATCCTGCGGGAGGAAAAGTGGCACTTTCCTCCCTAGTAATACAAATAGCTATTTACATACCTGGCTCCAAAGTTGTATAATCAATTACCATCTGATTTGAAAAAAATGAACGCTAGTTTATTAAAAAAAAAATGAATCCACGATACACAGACTAACGGTATGTTGCTGCGTATGCAGCTGACTGTAAATATAAAGAGAAACACAGAACAATTATAGTATTGAAAATATTTAAAAAACTTTTAATAAAAGCTCGAGCGGGTGAGACGCAAGCCCGCACCGCAACATTTTAAATTAATACGTGCAAATATTCTGAAAATTAATTTTAGCAGATAACCTGCATTTAATTTGTGTCAAGAAGTTGTTCACAGAGCACCTGCATAGGTTCTGCAAATTACTCATACTAAATTATTGTCCTTTTGTAGGCTATATGCAAATAAAATATGCATTTTACTAGCCTCTAATTGCTTTATGGAGGAATCATCTATTAGCAAAGTTAATATGCAGATCATAGGCAGAATGTTTAAGTGCATCTAACATTAAAGGAAAATAATATGCAGGTATATTCGATTTTTGTAGGTTATACAGAAGCAATATGCAGTTAGAAAAACTACTGCAAGCTATGTGCAAAGCACATGCAGTTAAATTATGCAGATCTGTGTTACTTGGGATTAGGATAGTTTAAATTACATATGGTAATGATATTGAATTTTGTGTAAATTTTTATAATTGGCATTTAGATTAGTAGACCTGTTTTACTAGATTTTTTGTCAATTTTGGTCAACCATTTATATGATGTGATTAAACATTTATAAAAGAAACATTATTATTCAGTGATCTTAGAAGTTTTAACTATATTTTTAAATAATTTTGAATGGTCCAATAATCCATCTCAAAATGTAGTTCAAAATTATTATTAAAATGCTGGTAACTACTGGCAACTACTAAAAGACCCTTGTGTCTACCCTTCAAATTCCTTTCCTCATCGACACAATGTATGATAAATTGTAAAATGATATTATCGCATCAAGTTGACGATTCATCGTCATCCTCCTTAGAGCCGTCATCTATTAAGAAAACTGAGTCAGCCAACTTCGGTGGTGATTAGTGGGACCCTCGTGCACACCACACTTTATGCACTTCATGAAAAACACGGATAAAGCCACTAACGAGTCAGATTTTTGTGTGTGGCGAACAGAAATGCATAAGAAATTAGATTAGAAGTGAATGTCTTCATATATCGTCACCGTCCCTATTTTAGTATTAACTGAGGGGAATGTTAGATACAAAGTGAATTTTAAAGACGTTGCTTAACTATAGTATTCATGGTGACTAATCAGTAGGAAATGTGTGAATGTGAGTGAATGCAGCTGGAAACTTTGAATGAAACTGCTGTACATTTTATTAGACAAGAAAATATCAAAGCCGTATATCACAAAATAATAAGAGCGATCGTTTCCTTCTGAAAAGCAACTACTACTACGGTTATTAGATTATACGTATGTATAAAAAATCAGGAAGAAAATTATTTTCAACACGCTAACTTTGATTTTGTTTACTGAGAAAAGCATAAATCTTATTAGGACTCATCAGCAAGAAATAGACATTCTTACTTTTAGTTTCTAATGAAACATGTAGATGGGTGTTATTCAGTTGTATATCTTGTTGGTTAAGTGAAATTAAGAACGGTGTGGCTAGCTGGCGGCCGGCAGTGTACGACAGATAAACTCAGAATTCCGCCGGACGGCGGACTCAAAACAAATCACAATCGCAATCCGCTGTAGAAATTAAATTGGTGAGTGGAAAAAGGATAATATTCTAAAATCTTAACTTTCGGAAAATTTTATTTTTAGTGTAACAGAAAAATGATCTATTATTAACTTGTAGTGCAATATAAAAGTATTTTATTAATAAATTTGATTTTGTTTTCTAATAATTCATTTACCTGAGATAAGGAGGTTTTACTATTTGGTATGTTACCTTTTTTTAACTCAAAATAAGGAAGTATTATAAAAATACCAAAATATTTTAACAAATTTTTATTTTTTATCGAAAAAGAACTTGTTTTTACACAAAAATTATAAGAAACATTTTCCTCTCAAACTAGGCATCGTATATCAATCTTCTTCGTTATCATCACCGTCACCTTCTGCATTGGTCCAGGTGAGTTTTTCTTCGAAGAATGCAAGAAAGTCTTCAGGTATGTATTGCAAATTTTTTTAAGTATCTTCAATCTTTTTCCTTTTTATTTGGGACACTTTCTATACATGCCCTTGTACTAGGTAGAGTCACGTCGTCAACGTTAGAGTACGATTTAACTTAGAAAAAGCCACGGGCGTCATCAACTAGTCATCGTCTGCCTCACTTTAAAATATTCCTTCTCCGTTGCTTCAGATCGATATACCAGTGGCATAGGCTTTTATTGAAATAAGAATTAAAGCAGTTTCCCAACAAAAAACATTTATTGGATTAAAAAGTTAAATTTTAATGATTTAAACATTTGTATATTACCTAAATAACTAAACTAAAATAACATTACATATATTTTTCGACTTTAGACTTTCAAAACATTCAGTGGGAAGTAAATAAAAATAGCAACACAATTTTGTAATTTAAGATTTTTATTACAATTAAATTTAAACTGAAACTAGAGGAGTACATCCTAGTTCGTCCATTAATGAACTATTATACTCTGTTTTTAAACTAAGAGGAGCGATTTGAATTTAAGTTGGCAATTCTGTAGCCTTCCGATTGGTCAGATTACAGTCAGTTTCACACATTACTTTTTAGAATGAACATCAGCTAATAATTGATATTGTTGACAGTTCTGACATTTTATAATTTGATATCTCCTCCGAGCAATTACTACTAGAGGGAGTCTTCCCCCCTTCCCCGCGCTAAATTTTGTTAGCAACATCTACTCCCCCCGAGGGGGGAAATACCTCTTCTGTAATTGGCTTATTTAATCAGCGTTGCCAAGTTTGACAGTGAGGTTGTGACCTCGTTCTGACACTTTCTGACACATGTCAATTATTGATTTGTATTTTACGAAAAATATAATTATTTATAGCCTTGTAAGGGTTTTAAATGTATATTGAAGATTTATTATCTGTAATAACATGGTGAAAATATGCTTTATGTGTAAAAGACCTGTTGAAAATGCTTCTTCAAGATTATATCATAGGTAAGTACAAATACAACTTAATTACCAGAGGCGGTGCATTAGGTAATCACCTTTAGTTTGCAATTGAACTTTCTTATTTTCGAAAAAGTAAAATTAAGAGGGAATAAATCCCAGCTAAGTTCATCTTCATCTGTATCATAATGATTATAGTAAAGGTTTAACAGAGAGGTTAATTACTTATTATTATTTTAATATCACATCTTTGTAAAGTTTATTGTTATTTTTTTTTAAGGTTTCCTTTTCTTGATATGAGAAAGAAATACATGGTTCCAAAATTTAAGAATTCAACAAGTGACCACCTGAATAACTTTTTATGCTAATGAACATTTTTATTATAGACCTCAGGGGAGGAAAATATTAAAGAAAAATGCAATTTCGACGAAAGAAGTATAATAATCAATCCTGTCACTACTTCTACATTATATTCATCTGCTACTAAAATACTAAAACAGCAAGTAAGTTTATTTCAAAAAGAATATTTAAGGAAGAAGGCATAGCCATTTTTTTGTTGACTTTTTTTTTTAAATAATCTAAAAGACTAATTTTGTGTATTGTTTAAATTTTCATATTTTGTACTTAATTTGTTTTAGGTTTAAACAAAATGAACTTCTAAGATATGCATGGAATATCCCAAAAGAGCTAAGGAAGGCTTTAAAATTCTTAAGAAAACTATTCAGAGCCAAAAACATAACATAGTCTTCCTGTCCAAAATATAAATAGGTATAAATATTTAGATATTATGAGTGATTTTTTATTCTATAAATAGAACATAATTTGCTTCTAAATCACTACCTAATGAACTATATTATATAGTACAATACTAAACAAGAATATCACATTATTCATGTTTTTTTTTAATTTCCTTAAAAAACGTCCCAAAAAAATGTGAATATTTATTATTGGAGTTTACATCGTTATGCTAAAACAATACTAGAACAACTTAAATAATGTGAATTTTGACTATTTTGAGTTATGCAGATCATTATGATCTAAAAAAATGTTTGTCTGGTACTATAGTCAGGTATAAAAACATTCATTTATTTAAACACAGTTGCAATATACATTTTATTTAGTTTTTAAGTTAAAACCTATTAGGACTTTTTTCGTTTGATGTGAGATTAATTATTCTACATTTTTGTTGGTGAAATAGGATATATTAAGATGTCTTACTGTTTTCTCTGATTATTTAAAAAGTTAGAACAATATACAAAGACTTAAACACACAATTAGTCAGTTCAATTGTACGATAATTTAAAGCAGACATCCAGAAAATGTGTTTAAATGTGTTTTTACTATAACAAGGACATAATTATTAAAAAAACTTGGCACAATAACATTGACGATAGGTTTTTATAATATATATTATACAAATCACATCGAACTACACAAAATGACATTATTAATAATTTAGCAATAAAAAAGTTAAGTACAATGATTACATTAAAAGTTGAGTTTCTCGAATTACTTTTTTTAAATTGTCTCAGTACCTACCTAGTATTTTTCTAGCACAATGATATTATATGAATGTGCATTGTGTGATATCTTATATTTTAGGAACAAAATTATATATTTTTTGCAGGTTTCTGTTAACAACGATTTCAAGAACTTTTGAAAATATTATTAAAACGGCCTTTGCAAATATAATTCTCAATTAAGAGCATTTTGATCTAACATTAAATTTTTATTCTCCATAAGGTTACAGCTTCCTAAGAAGAAAGTTTAACAAGACTTACCAGATCCAAAATATCAAAATTTTACTAACCAATTGATGTTTCTACTGGTTTCCATAGGAAAATTCTCCTCGAAACTACTAAAAGAAAAGTGGCAGAGACAACCGAAGAAGGCAAAAAGTCTTTTGCAAAACAAAAACTAGAAATTTGTTTAAGAATCTAATTATTATTTGAAGTTTTACCATTAATAATTTTT